CATCTCTTTCATCTTACGTCTCAGCTACTGTAATTCAGCTTTTAAGCTCGTGACAAATGTAATTTTCTCAGCAACACAAGACTGCTTCAAATACAGGATTTTTAGTGCGCTACTTTGACCATGTTACTGACCTTCTTTCTCCACTATGCTGGTTTCTCTCTTTCCCATCACACCAAATAAAAAAATATTTGACTTTATTTTTTCAGTCCTTCCAGGCTTTTACTGACATATTAATAACCTTCTAATGACTACTCTGACAATGAATCTCATTTCCTGTTCGCGGTATCTATCTCAGCCAAGTATTTTATTTTCTAACAGCCCTTCCATACTCCCTTCACATTCATAGGGTGCCTGCAAAGCTTCAGTATTTCCTTTCCAAGAGGCACCTTAAAACTCATCCTATTTCAGCTGCCAAAACATCAGTGATACTTAAAAATGTTTAGAGTACAGAGACCACTGGTTTTATACATCCACATTGACTAGTCCCTTACCTCTTGTTCAAACTTCTTGGTAAATTGTCCAAGATTGGGACAATCCTTTTTGTTCTTTGTGTGTATTGACATACTGATTAGCACAATGTATCCTCCTGGATCTTCATTACAGGCAGTACAACAGCAGCAAGATTAGCAGATTGTTGTTAGTACATAGTGTAGTTTAAAAAGCACAACTGGAGATTTGAGCCTTTTCCCTTTCCCCTTCTTAGCTATGCCTACGGAAAGTAAATGCTTTCATCCAGCTGAGCACAGACGTTAGCAATAACTTTTACTAAACATTTATGCCACACGTTTTCCAGCCAATGGCCTCCATACTGAAGTATCTGAAGAACTTGACTTTTGCACTTTTTAATGTATCATGCATATTCTTACATGCAGTCTGCTACACTGTCTTGCTCGTGCTTGTCTAATTGATGCCAGTGAGATTACTCAGATGAATGAGAACTACTCATATTAACAAGTCTTGAAAAACTGAACCTGTAATTCATGAGAACTGTTGAACATAGTAATTTTTATGCTGAATATCTCAAATGTTAACAATCACAATTTGGGCCACTGAAAAACACTGAACTCGCGAGTCACATTCCACCTCCAGTAACCACATACTTACTTAAACAATGTTAAGTACAACCTTAATTTTTTTTCTGTATTAAGAAATCAGACTTAACAATTAAGAATTTATTTTTTTAAATAACTGGTTTGTGATTTTCCTGATGTCAGAAAAGGTGTTGAATTGCCATGCAATTAACTTCTAAGTTAGCACACCACTCTACTGTATCACTTTTGGAATAAGTCCAGTTCACTTAGAGTACAAGAATATAATGTTTTAATGAACAGAAGCACAGGATATATTAAACATCTGATGTATTACTATTTTACGACAGACTATAGTAACAGTCTAGAAAAGGCTATTCTCCAAGTATCTTTACTGCTCACTTTTATAGAAATTACGGGTTTTAGCACCAAATTATATTTTCTCAACCTTTGCATGACTATATTACACATTTAAACATTATTTCTGAATCTTACAAGAGAATTGACATACTTTAATATACATTCATGCTTAACTGCAAGTCTAGTGAACTAATTTGCTAACAGCTTAATAATTAAATAGCACCAATAAAAAATAAAGCAATCTGTTTATATTTCCTTTAGGAAGGAAATGTGTACAAATTATAAAGCTTAGCAAACCAATATAAAAAATATTTCTGTTTGTGCTTACCTTCTTTTTGTTAATCTAAAATGTAATTCTAAGCGGATTTAATTTCCAAGTCAGACATTTAAAGTTTCTCCCTCCCTTTTAAGTTGTTTCAAAAACCTTCCAAAACTCCCTGTCTAAAGCAGTATTTGTTCCATCTCCCCTCATTACAATTTGGGGTGTTTTCTAGTTATTAACATGACCTTGCCTATTATTGGATCAAATTCTACCCCGCCGTAAGGAGCGAGTCCAGCAGCGTGAACATGCACTTTCATTAATGGATTAGTGTAAGGTTAAATATGTCTTTCTGTTATGACCCAGAGAAGGACATTGATACAAAAAAAAAAAAAAAAAAAAAATCTAATTTGCCTCTGTGAAACACCATATCAAACATCATCTATTTGTTTGTGTGATCATTTTCCACTGTTAGTACTTTGGTTGATTTGTTATTTTTTACGTTTTAAGATCTATTCCTTTATTAAAAGTCTATGTGATTCCAGGATTGGGTTTTTAAAAGTGAATTAAGTAGTAGTCGCTGAAATATACAAAGTGACACTGGAAAAATGTCTATTGGAATAGTCACTTACCATAGTAAATTTTGTTCCTTGAATGTACTGCCTCCAAAGAGGCCCCCCTTTGGGATTACTTTCCCTGCCATGAAGCAACAGAAACCACAGAAAATGTTAGATATTAAATGGAATATTCACATCTATTCCAATGTTCTGGAAGAAAACATAGAAAATCTCTTAACTCCCTACACATTGTTACATTCCATAAATACACGAGGTAGAAGTAAACCTCAGGAGTTGGTGTAAATCTGCATAGACAATTCACTTGAGAAAAAGTTATTTTGGTAAATAGCATCCTTTTTCTCTCTTATGACACTGCCTACACAGATCTAATAAGTAAAAGACTGGTAGAGACAATTCCGAGAACACGGACCGAAGCAGACTACTAGTTGTAGTGAGAGCAAACTAGTCCTGCCCAAACACTGTACCTAATGTAACGCCAGAAGTCTTGCTTGCTTGGGAACTTTTAAGTACATTAGCTACCTCAGTGAAGATGTTGTAAACGACTCTACTGAAACGGTCTAACCCTTAGCTTTTTACCAAACCTGACTGAAAAGTTACCATAAAAAAGGCTTTTATGTAGTCAAGCAAATAATTCAGAACCTATCCGAAAGTTTAAACCAAAACAGCTGTTAAAAATGGCAAATACTATTAGACTCAAGAATATGGGAGAGAAGCAAGGGTATTTTAAGACTTATCACCCTTATAAACATACACAGATGACTGCAGTTTTGAAACTTCCTTTTAGATTCTGTAACTACAGAGGAGTATTCAATGTAGGAGAATAAGAAAGGTACTACTGCGTCCCTTCAAAGACATGCAAGACATTTTGGCTGTAAGGAGTTTGACTCTAGGAATGTATGTCTAACTTATTGTTTGAGTATGCAACTCCGTGAAATGTTTTTGTATGCTATTTTGTCAAGAATAAAAAAGGACAGACTTAAATAATTTACATTAAAAAATGGAAGACAGGGTTAAGAATAAATCAAGTATTTTTTAAGCTACCAAAGGAGAAACATGAATCTAGTCAGTGTCCACCCTCCCCGTTCCACGCCCCCCCCCCCAAAAAAAAAAAAAAAAAAAAGTGTCATAACTAATGAAGAGAATGGCATTTAACTTTCAGCTCTTCAGTTTCTTTCTACTTCTCCAGTAGCTTGGACAAACATTGCTGTCTACCGTGTCACTTACTGACACTTTTCTTTCTTCTTTGCTTCTGTTTTCCACAGAAATCAAACAGTTGTTCTTCAAACTGGGGCTTGATTCAGTTGTCCACAGAGAGGTGTCTAATGACATTTCAGATGTCCTTTAACATCCCACTCAGTCTCCAGCTGCAGTTCCAGAGTCTCTCACAAGTTGTGTCATATCTGCTACCCTGTGTAGATATTTTGGCTACCTTGGGCCATGTCAAATAGTACTAGATGCCTCTTTGCAGGTAACTGTGTCATGTCTTTGCTGTCAAACAACTATTTTCAGAGACTATCATTGCAAACTGTTGATAATATAAACTTTGTTAGGAAAAGGATGAGATTGCTGTGGGTATATGGGAAGTAAAGATTTTTGAAAGGTTAAAAAAAGACAAGAGGAGCAAACAGAGTCCCATACCAAACCAGAAACAGAATCTACGACCTTCGTTTTCTGGAGCATTTTACAAATCCATTACTTTTTTACATTGTAAAGGTTCTATCCAGGAAAGCTTACCAAAAAGTTTCCTTTGTGGATTCATAAAGAAAAAACTTGAAGCCACAACTGGCTCTGAAAGTACTTGCACTTAATCTGAAGAGCTGTAAGCAGATACTCCAGATATCCTACATCCAAGGAATGCTTAGCACGCTCACACAACTGCAATTACCATCCAAGCATGTCTTTTGTATAAAACTCCAATCAAACTCAGGCACAGAAAAATGACCTGAGTGCTCTGGCCTTCAAGAGCTCCATCATCTCTGAGCTCATAGGATCAAAACTATAAAAAGATACAATTATCTTACTAAGTGTGTTCCTCAGATGTTATGAAGTACAATTTCTAGGATGGAATTTTAAGCCTCTAAAGAATTCTAATATGCAAAGTGGTATTAAGTCTTCCCTAACAGATCTGCTGAAGCTTTGAGTTTCCCCTCCCTTCTCCCTAACCACACTACCGCTATATTCCAGCTGCATGTTGTGATGCTGTTAAAAGAGAGCTGTGAAAAACGTGACTGCACATTTCAGCTTCTGAAACAACTATTGGTGGACAAAACTTAAGGAGTGTTCTGCTACTCCGGTTTGTGCCACAACTGAAAAGGCACCTCCTTTTATTTTTTTACAGGAGATGAATACACGGGCAACAGAAGTTTTCTTTGCCACTCTCCTCTGGTCCCAAAGCTTGAAGAATGAATGAAATCAACCTTTGGCTGAGTCTTTAACAAACCATAAAGACAGGTTTAAAGTTTAGAAAGTGAATCAGGGAGATCCAACTTGTTCTGTCATGTCTCAGTATGACATCTAATTACAGAATTTAACAACCTCTGAAAACCATTTCTGTGGCAAACCAAAAGCTAGAAGAACGTAATGGAATCAAATTACTGCACATTTTAATATGTAACTGGTCTTAAAAACTAACTTCAAGTGGGTACAATTGCTAACTGGTGAAGCATATAGGCTCTTCTGCTGGATCTTCCAGAAACCTTGAAATAACCGTAAGAATCATTTTCTTTTTAAAAATGATTGGAAAGACATATTTTTAAAAACAAACAAGCAAATTACCTGGCAAGGCTTTTTCATTTTAATTGCTATAACATGGTATCTGTAACAGCAGAGTTCACAGGTCCATGACCCTCTTTCACTTATCCACTTTAACAGGCAAAGCTGATGCGTGTACCGTACTGACCCATCACAGCGGCAAGGATTTAACAGTTCACCCTGAAAAGGCAACACAGAAACATTCATTTTAAAGGAATATCTTAGGTACGTGCATACTAGATACCAAAATATTTACAGGTCTGTAATAATGAACCGGTCTCAGTGTCAACACATGAAAAAGCAGGTATGCTTGGCTGTAAAAATACGCAAACATTAAACTGTCTTAAAAACCTCTAGGTGCTTGTAATGAGAAAAAGCCAGGCAGCAGCGTGTGCCCGTACATGTACACCTGTGAAACAAGTGAAAGATTTCCGCGCGTCAAACAACAGCAGCGTGAGCCCTTCCCAACACCTCGCACGGTACCACAAGTGGCTAGGTACATTCCCCAACAGTTACTTGCAGTCATCACTAGGAAAAGAAACGGGTGACGTCACAGACAACCGTGCTCTCGGAGCACAGCTGGCCAGCTGTCAGGCAGGACCTCAAATCACGTAACCAAACATTTCCCCCCTGCAGTTCACGTATTTCTATATTATATGGATCAGCTATTTTCTTTCCCTGAAGAGATTATTCTTTTTCTTAAGCTAAACTGCAAGACAAGCTATGAAATGCCAGTTACGGATCCACCGCTGATATTGTACCCAGCAACGTAATGACAGAGAAGATCCTCGGCGGTCTTCTCGGCGTTACCCGTAAGCTAATACTGTCATTTGAAAGTCTAATAGAAACCGGAGAAATTCGTGTTGTTTCAAGTCCCCGAGGGGAGAGCCAGCGAGCACGACGGCACGGAGACGCACAGCCCGCAAGCCAGCCCCAGCCAAACCTTCGAATTTCCCCTGCGCCGGCTCGGAATTGCCCCCGATGGGTTTGTGGCGGCCGCCCCGCACAGCAGCCCGGGCTCGCTCCTCGCCGCCGGCACAGGGGAGGGCAATTGGGGCCGGGGCGCCCCGCGGGCAGGTCCGGGGGTGGGGTGGGGTGGGGGGGCCTTTCCCCCCCCCCCCCCCCCCCCCCGGGGCGGCAGGCAGCGGCGCTCGGCCGCCTTCCCGCCCCGCGGCCGGCGGGGGGGGGGGGGGGGGGGCGGTGCCGAGCCCTGTCCCTGGTGCTGATCGCGCCCCGCCGCCCGCGGGAGCGGGGAGGGTGTGGGGGGGGGGGGTGCGTGAGTGGGCGAGAAGGCGAGAGGGGTCGGTCGGTCCGTCCGCGCCGAACCGAGCCCCGAGCCGGGGGGAACCGCCCGCCCGCCCCGCTCCCCCCCCCCCCCCCCCCCTCACCTGCTCGGGGCCCTGGAAGCAGATCTTGCAGATGGGGCCGGCCCCGCCGGGGTGGCTGCCGCTGCCGCTCCCGCTGCTGCACACCGAGCGGGTCTCGGGTTCGTCGCCGGCCCCCGCCTCCGAGCCGCCGCTCTCTCCGTCCTCCGGGCTGTCCCCGCTCGCTTCCCCCGCTCCGGCCGGCAGCTCCAGCGGGGCGCCGGGGTCTCGCTGCGGCTGCCCGGGAGGGAGGACGGCGCTCCCCCCGGCGCAGCTCATGCCCGGGGCACCCGCTCACCCGGGGCGGGAACGGCCCGCAGGGACGGACGGACGGACGGACGGACGGACGGGGGGGGGGGGGAGAGAGCGGCGAGGGCGCCCTTCCCGATGCCGGCGGCCGGGAAGGTGACCCGGCGTGGCCGCCTCCCTCCGCCAGCCGGGCCCGCAGCCGCGCCGGCGGCGGTGCGAGTGCGTGTGGGCGAGTGCGTGTGCGTGGGCGGGCGGGCGCGCGTGTGCGCGGGCGTGGGCCGGGGGGCGGCGGGGCGGGGCCGGGCCGGCACGCGCCCCGGGGTTTATGTGGTGGGTGTGTGTGTGTGGGGGGGGGGTGGGTGGTTCGGCTCCCGCCGCGGCGAGCGCGAGCGCGGGACCGTTGCCCGGCGCGAGCCGCGGCGGGAAGCGGGGCCGGGGGCCGCGCGAGTCACCCACCGCCGCCCTCTGAGGGGAGCGGGCAGAGCTTGCCGCCTCGTTGGGCCCTTCGCTGCGGGAGGTTGGGCTTGTGGAGGCTCGGCGGAACGAATGTTCAACAGTTGTTCGCCGGGTGCGAAACAGCGGTCCTCCTAGTCTTTTCGTGGCTGCCTTTTTTTTTTTTTTTTTTTTTTTTTTTTTTTTTTTTTTCCCCGCAAATTCATTACATCACCTCGTTTTCAAAATTAAATCTGCCAAAAGCATCACGATCAAATATCTTCTAAAAATAATTAAAACAAAAATTAAAAAAAAAAAAACAAAAAACAAACAAAAAAGGCAAAAACAAACAAACAAAAAAAAGAAAACAAAACAAACAAACAAAAAAACAAAACAAAAAACAACCCAAACCACAGTGGTTAGAAATTCTTTAAAGTTTGGCTGGGGCTTTCTCAAGGAAAGTATGTGTGAATTTCAGCATCAAGTATAACACCAGCGCACATTCCATCTCGTGAAAGCGACAGCAACTGTCTGCGTGGGGGAAAAAAAAAAAAAAAAGAGAAAAAGAAAAACAACTCAAAAAAAAAAAAAAAAAAAAAAACACAACCCCACACCAATTCTGAAGCCATATGCTCTTCCACAGCCACATTTAGATTCAAAGTGCGGTGAAGTCACCCGTCTTCTTCATTGGCTGCCTCATACGTTGTCTCAAGATGGGGGCGTACCTGGGTGAGCTCAGCGACCGCCTTCACCGGCTGTGTTTTGGCGGCAGCAGGGGCTCTCCCGCTGTGGACGTGGTGTTAGGCGGCCACAGAAGCGCCCAGAGCCGAACCACGACGTCCCGGCCCACGGTCCCGTGGCTGACACGCTCTCTGGGGGAGCCCGCTGAGCCTGCACTTTTCGGCCTGGCAGTATGCTCTGGGCAGAGGAGCAGCAGCCCCATATTGCAGGAGGGGGACGGTCGGATTAATCGGGGCAAGCTGCGGTTAAAGCCTTTTCAGTCCTCCTCCAGTCTGCATCCATCACAGAGGCCGTGCGGTAGGTGCATTAAGGATAAAGAACGCCGTCGCTGCTTACAGCATTGCACTACAAAAGTGCATATTCCGAGGTTGTCTTCCTACAGTGGAAGGAGGGGTGCGGTTACACCTTTTCTCTTCACCCACTAGCGCCCATTCTCATGAAAATCTTTGCTCGGCGTTAGCTGAGCCAGCTCTGGCCTTTTAGCTTGGTGTTAGGAAAAGATGTTCCAACCCCAAAATTACTTGTGTTCACAAGGTGGTTGTTAAATAGGTAAGTAACGTGGATTCATCCAGATTTGATAATGCGAAACAAAAAATGTCACATTGACGGTGACATTCGGATGAACTACGGATATTGTGGAATTAAGAAATTCTTCAAATATTTTTTCATAACAAAGTAATACTTGAAAGGGTTGCCAGAGAGACTAGGCAGAATTAAACAAATATAGACTAATTCTAAGAAAAGAAGGGGCAACCACAATGAAAAAACAGGAAATGTCAGAACAGATGAGTCCAAAATACTGGGTAGAAGAGAACTAAAGCAGAACCAGAAGGAAAAGACAGTGGAACTAAAGTAGTGAAATGAGCAATGGATGCTAAAAAGTTAGGCATCTGCATCAGAGGAGTACAGCATGCCCTTGCCATTTGCCGTGTGAGGGGGTTTATGCCATTTTTCTTTCTCACCCTTTCATTTGTCAGCAAAAATTCAGTAAATAACACGGCTTTTGGAAAGGACGTAAAAAGGCGATAAAAATGTCAACACAGAAATGGAATGACTTCTTAATAACAGGAAAAGAAAGAAAGATGTGACTACAGGGAATGATAGAGTGTGTTAAGAAGGTCAACATCTTCTACTTAACCTTGACCAAAATAAATGTAAAATATGACTCTTAAAAGGGAACACATCTAATGTGAGTTAGAAGACTGTTTCTTTCATATGTGTAATTAATTTGGAGAGCTGATTGCAAGTGGGAATTTCATAGACATGAGTTTGTTAATACATCACCTGTTTCCACGTCTACCAACAGCTATGGCACACCAGCTAAAATGAAATTGCAAAGGCTCTGGATCCCCGCCATACAGAGCCCATGAGAGTTGTTTGGTGTGCTGGGGGCGGGAGGAGGTGCCGACAAAAGAGCAGAAGGGGTGGAGAGCATTATGTAACACAGCCTCCAACCCAAGTAGCGTTCAGCCTTCTGCTGAGTGAGAGAGGAGGACGGGAGCCAAAACCAAAAATCGAAACAGAAAGAAGAAAAATTTCAAGCAGGAAAGGGTGTTCTGCTTCATAACAGCAGTAGTGTAGGTGGTTGGGAGAAATAAAAAAAAAAAAAAAAAAAAAAATGGAGAAGCTGAAAACAGGAAGAATTAATTTGTGATTAAGGCAGTGAACTGGATCTCAAGGGATTTGCACAGCTTTGCTACACATTTCTTGAACAGCCTTGAGCAAGTGGCCTCGGGTGGGCTGAACGCAGGCATCCGGTCACCTAAACACAGGCAGCTAGCTCGTCGTACTCCTAGCCGGGTGTCCGACAGCCTCCAGAGGACTGGGGCTGTCACATCTGCCATCTCTTTTGGGAACAGTGGGTCATTCAAACTGGCATTAATCTCCCATATGCAGGCACACTGCCCTTAGTCTCTCTCTGTCTTGTTCTCTACAAAAAAAGCAAAAAAAAAAAAAAACAACAACAAACCAAAATAATAAAAAAAAAAAACAACTCCCAAGCAAAACAAAACTAAATAATAATGTTTGCTTCCTCTCTTCTTATTCCTGCCTCTTTCAACAAGAATTTGCAATATTTTACTGACAGATTCAGGACATATTTGTACAGTCTTGATCTTGGCTGAGGTATTTCAGCATTATAACAGGACAAATAATAAGGAACAGTGATACAGATAAAAATAACACCAAGGTAATAAGACCGTGGGACAATAAAACGGACTGCATTTTCAGCAGGTGGTGGGAAAGGCAGGAGAAGTATAACCCTTGAGGGAATGGAAGTTGTCTCCCTTCTATTTTCCTCTCAGTTCTGCTCCAGGTACATTCTTTTTCCCACTACTCCAGCTCAGGACTGTGCAATTTTTCCCTCCAAATAAACTAGTGGAAACTCAAGCTCAGTTTTTTACCTGAGGATGATCAGCTGGAGGTAGAACATCCAGGAAATAAAAACAGAGGAAGACACTTGAACGGAGGGGAGATGTTCAGGGAATGGACAGAACAGGATTAAAAAAAAAAAAAAAAATCAAGATAAACACTGTAAGTTTTATGTACGGAAGACGTTCTGCAGGAATAATGTATGCAGATAAAAAACTACTCGGGGGATATTACAAGAATGGAAGCACTGTGTTACTGCACATTTAGAAACCAACCCCCCTGCTCTTCTTTATTCTCAAAAAGTTTCCATAATGCATTGGCCTGTACCAGAAATACAGTAACAGAACAGCTAAGTGATGGGTTTGTTCCATTTTGCTGCTTCCTGTATCTCTGAGGAAAAGAAGATGATACAGTTTTAAAATATTAATAAAGGAGTAAAGAGAGTAATTACCAGTGTATTATATTCAAAACAAAATACTAATGAGGAAGTAGAAAGTGAAATCTATTTAAATAATAATACGGACATATTATTATTCAATTTATTGACTATCACGTATATGTCCCTTTGAGAAGGAAACTCAGGTTGGTGGAGATCACCTGTAAACAAAAATAAGGCATTTTGGTTGTAAGCAAATGCTTCAGTTTAATTTGAAATGCGCTTTACATGTTTAATGCAACATAAAATGTGCTTCTGAGTAATATCCCCATCTGTTAAATTTCCATGTTCAACTTTATTACACTAAAAGATCTGCACAGATGGTTAATAGCCGTACTAGTGACTGTGTATTATTTCCTGGTTCACTGAACGTGCCTGATTTTAGTTATGAACACACATTCATCATGCAGTCGAAGCTTTTACAATTATGTCAACCAATTAAGATCCCACGCAGACAGAAACCTATTGTCTAAAGAAAATCTTTATTTTCACATTCCTCTCCTGCTTTTTTGAAAATGTGTACTTGGGTTCCTATCCAATCCAGTGTTGCCCAACACTGATGCATCTCTACACAGCAAAAGTGTCTCGTCCTAGCAGGTACTGGCGTTTCTTCCTCAAACTTTCACAGGGATTTCCCGCCCGTGTTGGGGCCTTGAGCTCATCCCCCCTCCTGGAGGGTTGGATCCTGGGGCTCAGGGCTAGCTCAGGGACAGGGCAGCCACAGGCTACTTGCCTGCTCGCTTCCTTCCTTCCTTCTTCCCTTCCTTCCTTCTTCCTCTCTGTGTCTGGGGACGGCAGGGGAGCCACAGCCAGGGCCAACCCTTGCCCGTGGGAGCTGCTTTTACGCTGAGCCTCTGCTGTTTGCCCCGCGCCCCCGACCTACAGCTCCCGCCACAGTGTAGGCCATGCCTGGCCATGGCCACACCAATGCGGGCCCACGTCCCACCCTGGCCCCATCCCCATCCCCACGGAGGTGCCCGGTGCCCCGGGGCTGCCCCGGCTGCCAGGCCCTGCCATCACCCACTCAGTGAGCCCCCGCACTCCCAGCACAGGAGCCCACCATGCCCTGACGGTTCTCTGCAGCGTCTTGTCTTCTGTATTGTCCAAGAAATGGTGATTGACATCCTTTTCCTTTTACAGGAGGTTTATGGAAACATGAATCCACTAATCATTTGAATATACTTTCAGATGTTTACAGGGATGATGATAGAAAAGTTTCAAATTTTTATTTTAATATCATTTTATTCTGGGAATATTGT